GAGTCCATTCCTTCCCACTCCCCCAGGCACCAGATGCCCCCTGGAGTTCCAACTGTCCCCCACGCCCCAAGGTAGGACAAGTGGTCTTTTCAAGTACCAAAATCCACTGGACAATGCCCACCTCCCTTTACAGAACATCTCTCTTCGCCCACAGGGAGATTCATCAAAAAGAACCCCCTCCCACCACCAAATTAAAGCCTCTCTCTTCCTTTCTACCACTTTTCAATCTCTGTCCCCTGCAGGCTCTTCTCTTCCTGAGAATCCACAGAAGTCACCTTTCCCTTATTACTAGCCCTCAACTTGACTGAGGCCCATCACACTCCCCTTTATTGCTCTACTCCCCTCCCCTGCCATGCACCAGTTTTGTAATGTAGTCCCACCAAAAAAAGAAGATTCACCTATAGGCAGGGCACACACAATGACCCTGGCTTGCCTCTTCACTGTTACCTCCACCTGACATCTGCCTTCACTCCAGTCTCCTTGTGCACTTTTAGAAAGAAGTCTCTTACTGGTCTCTCTGATGTCACTTGTTTGCTGTTGTTCCTGGCTAACGCATTTATCCTTCCTGCATTTCTGTTGAATGGGGTGTTCAAGAAGCAAATAAAATCCTCAGGTATGGTTTTCTTACTAAGAATGTTTCAAATGCCTCTTTATTACTGCATCTCCATTTATTTTCATTCATAGTTAAGCTCAGATCTGCAGGGTAGGTCAGCTCCATCACTCTTCAGAACACATTCCAATCCCTCATTCATTTTCTGGCAGGTGCACAATAGTCTTGTGTTCTCTGGATTTCCTTTCCTTTGTATTTGAAGGTCTTTCTCCTGGTTGCTTGAAAGACCTATTGTTTCTGAATCAAACTGTTAAAATTAATCAGTATGTGTCTTGGAGTTTGCAACCTTCCCTCTTCATCTCTCAGAAGCGATCTCTGAACTTGTTCCATTGGTATTTCATTTTCTGCATTCAGAAGCTCTAAGGAGTTTTCTTTCTTTCTTTTTTTTTTTACTGCAGTTATTCTTTTTTTTAATTTAATTTAATTTTTAATTAATTTATTTTGATTTATCAACAATCACTTCCATATGCTTTTGAGTTTAAAATTTTTCTCCCTCTTCCTCCCCACCACCCTCCCCAAGATAGCGCACAATCTGATATAGGCTACACACACACATTCCTATTAAACATATTTTCACATTAGTGATGTTGTAAGGAAGAATTAGGACCAATAGGAGGAACCACCAGAAAGAGGAAACAAAACTCTACAGAAGAAAAAAAAAAAGCAAATAGTATGCTCTGATCTGCGTTCAAACTCCATAGCTCTTTCTTTGGATGTGGATAGAATTTTCCATCACGAGGCCTTTGGAGATGTCTTAGATCCTTGTATTCCCGAGAAGGGTTAAGTTTATCAATATTAGTCATCGCACAACGTGGCTGTTACTGTGTACAATGTTCTCCTGGTTCTGCTCACTTCACTCAGCATGAGACCATACAAGTCTTTCCAGGTTTTTCTGAAGTCAGCCTGTTCATCATTTCTTATAGCACAGTAGCATTCCATTACATACAGCTTGTTCAGTCATTCCCTGATTGATGGGCATCCCCTCAATTTCCAATTCTTTGCCACCACACAAAGAGCTGCTATAAATATTTCTGTACACATGGGTCCTTTTCCCATCTGTACGATCTCTTTGGGATACAGCCCTGGAAGTGTTATTGCTGGGTCAAAGGGTGTGTACATTTTTGTAGCCCTCTAAGGAGTTTTCTTACACTATCGCTTGCACTGTGGTGTTCACTTTCTAACTCTCCTGCTCTTCTGGGAGGTCCACAACCTTTAAATTGTCTCCATGCGTCCCACCTTCACAAGCGAGGTGTTGTGTTTGGATGGATAGCATCTGGACCATCCTTCACGTCTATGTATTTGCATTCCCACCCAACTATTCTAGCTTCGGTTTCTCTGGTGAGATTCGCCACCTCAGATTCAAGTTCTTCTGTTCTATCAATTATTTTGCTGGGCAGGACATGCATTCTGCTCTCGTAACAATCACTCCTCTCTCTAAAGTGCTCAGGAGCAGCATGTTGTGGCTCTGCACGCTCCAGTTCTGCAGGGCCCTCTCTCTCCTCCCATGCTGGATCACTTTCCTTTGTTTTGCAGTCTTCATTCCCAAACACCTGACTCATTTACTACATCTGGGGGCCACAGTTCTTTCTGTCATTAAAGTTTTCCCTGCTGATTGGATCTGCTCACGTTCAGAGTCTTTCAGTCTTCTTCTTCCTGAGATCTTGGGTCACTTCAGTTGGCTTTTCCCTTATTTTCCTCTATTGTTCATCTTCTGACTCCCTTCCCCCTCTGACAGTGGTTTCCCTGGGGGCTGGATCTCAGACCTCAGTTGCCTCCCACAATGGGTGATTCATGGTTCACCAGCCTATGTTTCTACCCCAAGGGATTTTTGGGGGAACAGAACTGGTCCCAGTTGGGGGCTGGGGTCTTTCCCTCAGACTTAGTGGAGTATCATGTAGCCTCCTTCCCCCCCTCCACAGCCACATACACATACACTGTGCTCTGTCCTGCCCCCTCTGCCCCTCAGTTTTCTGGCCCAGCAGTCCAATGGATTGGTGCCACAGTAGCTGGGGATGATTTCTAACATTTGGAGTTTGGTCTCCAAGGCTCTGAGCTGGGAAGGAAGTTAGAATATGAGGCTCAGCACTATTTCAAACCCAGACACATCCTTTCCTGTTTTCTTTCTTCCTGATTCTCCTGTAAAGTTATGTTACAGCTCAGAATGCCGATGGAGTGCTAGCCACGGAGACCCCAACCAACTTCTGCAGCCTGGAGCCCAGATTTCCAAGGCACTGGAATCGAGGTGTAGGGCTGATTTTTGTTCCCAAGTCCACGGGTCAGGTCTTTGGCTCAGTTAATGTAATGTCATTATTAGTGATGTGGTGGGTGGTAGAGGAGAAGGTGCTCTATGAGTTTAGAGTGGGCGTGATGGCATGGGGTTTGGTTTTGGTTTTTTACCTTCTTTTGGGTTCCAGGTGACCTAGACCATGGAGACAGTCAAAGTTCCTTGATCTTTGGGACATAACTTCTATTTTGGAAAGATGTGAGAGGGTATGAAGAACAGAGAAAATATCTGGTCCTCCATCTTGCTGGTCACATGAACCAGAACCCTAGGCACGATGCTCTCTGAACTCCAGGGACACGATGAACAATCTCTTTGCTGCTGCACTTCTCCAGGCTCCTGCCCTGATGTGTTTGAGTGACGTAAATGCAGCCACCACACAACCCCCACACGACAGCCAACCCCTGTTCCAGCAGGTCAGCCTGCCATGGAGGGGGAGTTGCTCTGATGAGACCAACAGAAAGAAGCCCAAGAGGCTCTTCAAAAACAGGAACCACTCACCCTCCAAGAACTGAATTCACCTCCTCACTGGTGGCTGTGGACATGGCCTCCAAACGGTCATTCCAAAAGTGTCGCCTGAGTCCAAACACGGCCTCTGCAGTGCTGTGTAAACACGATGCCCGGCAGAGAAACCACGCAAAGAGAGACAGCGTGCAGATGAACCTAGCACAAACTCTGGAGGCAGACGACCTGAACGTAAGTCCCAGCTCCAAAAACCAAGAGTTGTGTGACCTCAAGGGTCTCTCAGCTTGGCCTCTCTGTGCCTGAGCTGGCTTCTCTGTACAACGGGCATCATCCTTGAACTGGGTCCTCCACCAGCTGTGGTAAGGAAAGCCATTTGTCAACTTGGTGAGCTCCTGTCACTCTCTGCCCCTGGAGATGTCCTGGCAAGGGCGGATGAAACCAGACAGGCAGACTCCACCGCTTCCCTTCTTCACGCTCCCTGAACACCTCGTGTCACCTCTTCAGGACCAGGCACGCGAGAGCTACCACCACGACACATGCCACAAGAACAAAGTGGAAGAAAACTTAAGAAACAACTTGACAAAGTCAGAGCCACTCGACTGAGACGGGCTTTTAAAAATGCTTTGTTTTGTCTCATTTGTATCTGCCAAGTAACTGAAGTAGTGGAAAGGCCCGGGGTTAACCTAGAGAAGACTCAGAGATGCAAGACAGCTATCTTCGAGTATCTGAAAAGCCATCAGATTGGCTGGCTCTGAAGGGCATGATGAGAAGGGAGCTGGATTTAATCCTGATGCCAGGAAAGCCTCTTTCCCAAGAGGAATGGGCTGCCTCAGGACATGGCGGGTCTTCACCTAAAGTCTGGGTGACCACTCGTTGGGGGTGTTCTAGTGGGGATTCCTTTGGAGGGAGGCCCCGTCCAATCCTTTTGCTTCTGTGATAGTAAGTGTTGTACAAGGCTAGAGGGAGGCAGCCAACAAAATTAATCAATTGCTTTTCACTTCAGTCCCCAAAGCAGATACTGTTTGAGTCTTTTCTAAAAGGCCTGATGGCCTCTGTTCTGGATGCTGCAAACAGAAAAGGGGAGCCTCGGAGTCCCTCAGAACTACTCTCTAGTGGGTAACCCCACCCAAGCCTGCTCAAACATGAAAGCCAAGGAGTCAGTTCAAGACAAGATTCAAATGACTCTCTGAGTAAGGAGCACAGGCCACAGACATGAAGATGTGGGACGGCTGCTATGCCCCCAGCCTCCCTGACTCACCAGCAGTTCCACTTCCCAGTCTCTTTGGACAAGAAGCAGAGACTAGTTATTCAAGGTTGACAGCAGATGCTCTAACATGATAAATACAACAGGAAGACCCCTTAGGGGAGTCTTTCTCCCATAGGAAAACAAAGCCTCTTTCATTCACTGAAGTACAACCCATGATTCAGGCCAGTCAAACAGCAATGTAGTTACAAGAAAGACAGACTGAGTAGTAGAGGACCATGTAGGAATACCCATTTTTCAGACCTGCTGCCATCTTGCTCTACAATCTAGAAAAAGAGGCTGGACAGCTCAACGGCTACAACTCAAGTGGGGCCTGAGCCCACGGCCTCACAGCTCTCTCAGAGGGTCGGGGGGTTGGGCAGCCCAGGTTTCCTACTCACGTCTTCATCTTGGCTCGAGTGGATCAGCTCCACAAGCCTCTCAATGACGTTCTCTTCATTCAGCCACTGAAAAGAAAGGAAAAGGCCTTGGGTCACATATCTGTGCCAACAACAACCAGGCCCTGGGTTCCATGAGCCTCCATGAGAGGCCGTGTGGTGCAGTGCAAAGAGTTCTGGACCTGAGGTCAAATCCTGTCTGCAACATACTATGTGGGTGACCATGGCCAAGTCACTTAATCTCTGTGGGACTCAATTTTCTCATATATAAAATAAAGGATCAGACTTCTTTTAAATTCCCTTCTACTTTCAGCTCTATAGTTGTGATCTTGTAATATATTATATTACATGTACGCAAGTTACATGTACACATAGAAATAACTACCAGGTAATTGGGGGGGGGGGGGAGACAGAGAGAAGAGAAAGACAAAGAAATCCACAGAAGAAGGAGAGAGAGAGAAGAGAAAAGGCAGAGACACAGAGAAAGAAGAGAGAGAGGAGAGAGAAACAGTGACAGAGACCCAGAGTAAGAGGAGAGAGACAAGAGACAGAGACGGGGGTGGGGGAAAGAGGAAGACAGGAGAAAAAGAGAGGGGGAGAGAAACAGTGACAGAGACCCAGAGAGAGAAGAGAGAGAAGAGACACTGTGAGAGAGAGAGAAGAGAAAGAGAGGAGAAACTGAGAGAGAAAAGAGAGAGAGCACAAGAAAAGAGGAGAGAATGATGTGGTGAGTGAGTGGAGGCATGTCAGGACAGGCTTCTTCCTTACAAATTATTTATTTATTTTTAACGTTTAATGTTTAAAAATTTTGAGTCAGGATGGATTTCCAAGAGGAGGCAGCCCCTGAGCTGAGCCTTGAAGGAGACCAAAAATGTACAGGAAGGATTCCATTTCAGGCATGAGGGACAGCTTGGGTAAAGGCAAGGAGGTAGGAAATGGATGGCAAAGCTTGGGAAACAGCAAGGGGGCCAATTTGGCTGGAAAGTCAAATGCACTGAGGAGAGTAATGGGAAATAAATGAAAAATGATGAGACGAATGTTCCCCCCTTTAAAAAACTTTTCTGCGGTCTGACATTCCCTTAATCTATTTATTCCAATTCAATTCAAACCGACCCTTTCTTAGCACCCATCCAACTTTCAATCAAGCATGTCGGTAGTGCCTCCCTCGTGCTGACTCCCAGGGACACAAAGGCCGAAGCCAAAGTCTATTGGGAGCAGGAGGCTTCTGGGAGTGGGCGGTCCTCGGTATGAGTCTTTGAAGAGGCAGAAGTGAGGAGAGCACTGCAGGCGTGGGGCACAGCGGCCAGGGCAGGTGGAGCCTCGGGTGTGAGCTGCCATACACAGGAGTCACGGCGAGGCGGGCTGGGACACACACATGGTCTCACTCTCGCAGACCCCCTTGATTCCTCCCTCCCTCTCACCTCCAAGCACAGTGGTTCAGACCCTTCTCATGTCACACCTAGACCACGGTGATAGCTTCCTCGACAGCCTCCCTGCTTCAGGTCCTAATACCCCGTCTATCCTGCACACAGATGCCCAAGTGATTTTCCTTAAGAGCAGATCCCTATTCAATGAACTCTTTTATCTCCCCATTGCCTCTAGGATTAGATACCAAATCCTCTGTTTAGCTTTGGAGGCCTTCACAACCTGGACGTGATGTAACTTCCCAGTCCCTTCTTCTCCCTGCTTGTCAGATGTGCCTCCACAGTGGCCAGAATGCCAGCCTGTCCCCACCGATGCTGGCCCCACTCCTCCCACGCGAGCCTGTGCTACTCTTTGAATCAGGGCGCATCTGTTCTCTTTGTAACTTAGCACAGACTCATGCATGTCCTCATTCCCATGTCAGAATTTATCGAAGTTCCTTGAGGGTAGGGGAGCAGGCACTTAATACATACCTGTCCTCATACTGTCTAATTTATCTTTAGTTCCCAGTGCAGACACTGCCTCCTTCACCAATTTCCTCAACCAATCCTGACAGATTTCCTACCCTACCAAGTTGAAATGCCTTTGAAGAATTAAACAGGGAAAGTTCCTGACCCTGCTCACAGTTAATTCACGCTGACTGGCTGATTCAGCTAATGAGCATCCTCACCCAATAAAGCTCTCAGGGCTAACAGGGATGACTGACTCGACTGACTCCTGCCCTTACAAACAAAAAGGGTTTAAAAAAAAAGTTATATTGATGGAAAAAGGCACTAAAAAAATAAAGAGTACTGCAGTTCAGCATGAGACCTATGGGACAATGACAACTGAGGCCAGAGAGAAAGCTGAGCTGCTCGAATCTTATTTTATTTCTGTTTCTCTGCCAAGAAGAATGATACTTAGTACTCAAAAGTACCAAGGCTAAAAGAGAGTTATACCCAAGAAAAGTAACTAGCTGCTCCTACGAATTCAAGACACGGGCCTAGTGCAAACAGAGTTCAGAAGCTCATTTCCTGAGAATACTTGGTACTGAATCCATTAAAAACACGGACCAACATTTCAAAGGAAATAGTTTTTTTAAAAAAAGTTTGATTAGGACTTTATTCTGTTTTGTTTTGTTTTTGGTTAGGACTTTATTCTGAAAAATGAAAGTAAAAACACGAAAAAGAAGTTAATTTTATTTATCTGAGAAAATCTGGGTTGTAACTGCAACTATTCACCAATTACCAGAATGAACAAAGAAGGAACTAATTAGATATCATCTGGGAAGGTCACGCTTTTCCCAACAGAAGCATATGTTATCACAATGATAGTACTATCATAAAGAGGGTCATGACTGCAAAAAATATTTGAGATCATTAATTAATTTTCCTAAAGATCTCTCACAATCGTTTGATATTCAAATCAATCTCTTTTGAAGAGCATATCCTCGCTCGTCAAAGTTATCAGCGCAGAGTACGTGTACTATGGTAGTGTATAAAATAAGAGGAATCATCCATTTCTGACTTTCATGTTCATAATTTTTTTTAGTTTGATCACAAAAAACTTAGTAAATCAGTCATGAAAGCTTTCGAAATGCAATTTCAATCTTACGAGTGGCATGGCCCTAGGTTTGCTTTTCAAAACTCTGATTCTCACTCCTATAGATAAGTAAAAGCTGCAGCTTTGTGGTTGTTGGTTTTTCCACCCTTTGCACTTTCACCGATGAGCAGCCAACCTGCTCATTGTAAATGAGGTAAAATTCCTCTCTCTTTTTGAAGACTTAAAGCCCCCTATTGAATATCCTTTCATAAATGTAAAGACTTTGCTTGATAAAGACCAGCACAGTTTACAGGGCTGAGAAAGAGTTTCCACCTAGGAAGCAGCAAATGGTCTTTCTATTAGCTCTGGGGCATCACTCTTCCTATATGTTCCACTTTCAGTCAGAATGCTTTACTATCATCATAGCCTTGTTTCCAATAGATGTACCATTACTGAAAATGGTATGAATAGCTGTTTACAGCATGTGAAAAGAACTGCTGATGTTGTTTATTCAGATGTCACTTACAGGAGTAAATACAGCATTATAAAAAAACAGATGTGGACTACAAAGAGATACAGTTAGGTGGATTAGGCCTAGGACAAATGGCTAAACCTCCAAATGAATGTCAGCCTTCCATGGGGTTCCTCCAACCCATGCCCCTACCCCTGGATCTGTGCTTGATCCTAGACTAGGTTTGGGCATTTTTGTCGATGACATACATGAAGCTGGGAAGGAGAGCTACCACATGGCTTCCCTGGCTAGGCTCTCCTACAGTGGATGCACTTTCTTTCCGGCCTCATACTCTTAATCATGATCCCCTTTAAGATCCTGGAGGGAGTTCCAGATCTGGCTTATGGACTTTGTTTTCATCTCCACCCCTGCCTTCATATTTGGGGCCTACAAATGACAAGCTGATGTCCTTCAAATGCTCAAGCTTCCCAGGATCTGCACTTTCCCTTTGCTTTGGCCACACAGGTATAGGGAAGTTGGGTCTCCAGCCACCCTGCCCTCCCCAAACTCAGGAAGTCAAGGATCTAATCGAAGTAAGGGGACTTGATGATAATGAGGTGTTAAAAATGACCTGTGAGATTTCAACCACTTCTAATGCAAACAAATCCCCGGATTTAATCATTAGAAAGGGAGCCCAATCCGGCCTAGCTGAACAGTTCAAAAGTCCAGTGGTTCAAGCTGGTTCAGGCAAGAGAGAGCAATAAAGGAAGAATGGAGCTTCTAGAAGCTGGAGGAGGGAAGGCCCTGAGAAAATCTAACCCAAGCAGAGGCAGCCATCAAAAGGAATGAAGGCCAGAACTCTGACAGTGAGGCTTTGAGCGCTGACTGGGCATAAGATGTGTTGGGAGAGATACTGAGTCACTGACAATCCACAGGATTAGAGACCCCAAGGCAATAATTCTGTATTTCCTTTTTCCCTTTGGACTCTGGTATGGAAGCCTGAGGCCTTTTTCCTCTTGGTATGGGGAAAATCTATTTACCCTTCTTGTTTCAAACATTTACTTTATCCTTATAAACAGTGTTAACCACAGACATTTGCTAGTCTGGGTGTACTTACTGGAAATACAGTTTGGAGGAAGCAACTGGCAAGGGGGAAAAACCCTGAGAACACAGAGACAGATAGATTTAACAATGAAGTGTTTTGCCAGAGCTTTCTCTGGATAGGGGCTCAGAGCTAAAAATAGAGAGCACTGTATATTCTTTAGTTACAACTTTCTAGGCAAAAAGAGACTGTTTACACTGGGAAAGCCCATCTAGACAATGAGTCAGTGGTGGGGATGGGGGGTGAGGGGGTGAATAAGGGTAGAAGAATAACCCTGGTCACCACCCCCCCACTGTTCCACAGGGATGGTCATACCCTTGACATCACCCCATACAAATGTTTCCACCTCTACAATCCTCCACTCTGAAATCCTCTATCTTGCCATGCCCTCTCGACTTTCCATCTCTCATTAGCCCTTGTGCCTCCAGTCACTACACCTTTCTCTGCTTTTCCAGACCATCACCCCTGATCAAAAGCTTCACCCTGTAGTTAACCAGGTCAGTTTTACACTCTCTTCTACACTTGAATTCTTGTTCTATGACAGTCATACCTTTCCAAAACTGGGCACTGGATTAGTCTCATCATCTGCCTCCTTCGTTTTTACTTATATGCTGCTGAATGCTGATGGTGGAAATCTCATCAAATTGTGCTAACTGGGACCACTACAAATTTATACTACCTAAATCTCAAATGGACTTTCAGTGCTGCACACCAATTTGTTTACTCTTCCCTGACTGACCATCCTACTCCAAGGCTCTGTTCTGGGCCCTCTTCTCTTCTCCCTGTATAGTACTTTGATTAGTGACCTCATCAGCTCCCATGGTTTCAATGATCATCTCTACACTCTCAAATCTATCTGTCTAGCCCTGACCTCTCTCCCAGTCATAGTCCTGCGTCTCCAGCTGCTCAAAGACATCTTAAACACATGTCCACAACTGAACTCATCTGCCCTTGCAAATTCTCCCCTCTTCCTAACTTCCCTATTACTATTACCATCCTCTCAGTCACCGAGGCTTACGATCTAGGCTTCCTTGATGTCTCCCTCTCTCAGTCCCGTGATCAATCAGTGCTTTCGTCCTGTCATTTCTACTTTCATGACATCTCACGTATGCCCTCTTCTTTCCTTGCCAATGCCACAACCATTCCGGTGCAATCCTTCAGCGCCTCACAACTGGCCTATTTCAGTAACCTGCTGGTTGGTCTCCCTGACTACGCAAATTCACCTTCCACTCAAATGTCAAATTGATCCTCCTAAAATGCAGGTCTGACTATGTCACACCCAGCCCTACTCCCAAGCCAGACAAACTCCAAGACTGTCCCTTCACTCTATACTGGACTCTAAAGGTTTTTTTCATTTTTCACTGTGTTTCTCAAATTTGTTACTTTATAGTATCCTAATGCTCTCAATGTGCCATAATTTATTCAGCTATTTTCCAAATATATATGTTATTCCCAGGGATTTTTACTTTTCTGGTTTCATTTTGTTTTGATATTTCAAATAAATCAACTCTAAGTCCATCATTAAAATATGGCACAGTAATGTAATCAGTACTGGGTCACAATGGGTCATCAATTCTGTGAACTTCCCTGTACAATGCCAGACTGCTCTTCAGTTACAGTCTTATTAACAAGAGAATAGAAAACCTCCTTCCCCAAAGCCAATGAAAACAACATTTTAAATTCTTGCTATTTCTCCCAAGTTAATATCTGTAGGCTGTGCTGATCAGTGAGGAACGTGAACAAAATTCCATGTAATTTTTTTTTGACACTGTTTCCCAATCTTGCTTAGGCTGAAAGTGTACTTGAGCCAGAACTGGCTGTCTCTCTGTCTCCTCTCCTCTCCTCTTCTCTCTCTCTCTCTCCCTCCCTCTCTCTCTCTTCCCCCTCCTCTTTCTCTCTCTCCCCCCTCCCCTCTCTCTCCCCGCCTTCTCTCTCTCCTCTCTTCTCCTCTCCTCTCTCTGCCCCTCTTCTCTCTCCCCCCTCCCCTCTCTCTGCCTCTCTTCTCTCTCACATGCCCCCTCTCTCCCCCCTCCTTCTCTCTCCTCTCTTCTCCTCTCCTCTCTCTGCCCCTCTTCTCTCTTCCCCCTCCCCTCTCTCTTCCCCCTCCCCTCTCTTCCCCCCTTCTCTCTCTCCTCTCTTCTCTCCTCTCTGCCCCTCTTCTCTCTCCCCCCTCCACTCTCTCTCTCCCTCTCTCTTTTCCTCTCCCTCTCTCTCTCCCCCCTTTCCCTCTCTCTCTCTCTCTCTCTCTCTCTCTCTCTCTCTCTCTCTCTCTCTCTCTCTCTCTCTCTCTCTCTCTCTCTCTCTCTCTCTCTCTCTCTCTCCCTCCCCCCCCCCCCACTAGCTGTCTCTCCATTTGAATGTAGGTTCCTTGACAGCAGAACCATTTTCTTTTTTTTGGCCTTTCTTTAGGCAGCCAATACTTAGCACAATGCCCAGCACATATTAAGTATTTAATAAATGTTTGTTCCCTGACTGTTGATTGATTTATCAATATTTAGAAATAAATCTAGATATCTGAGCAATCACGTTTTAAAAATTAACCCGTGGTAGCATTCTCTTGTGACTCAGCCTCACTCTGGGGCTGTTTGCCGGGCAGCTTGTTACTGCTCTGATCTCTCCAAACAGTTTAATTACTTCTTGTTTTATTAATGTTGTAAGTTATCAGTTTAGAGTCTCAAAATGCATTAAGAATGCGTAGGACTCTCTGATAACTTTTTAGATTTCTTTTGCCTCTGTTGTGATCTCTTCTCACTAGTTTCTAATACTTCTAATTTGAGGGTTTTTTTTCAAAATTGTATTAGTACATTTCAAAATCAGGATCGTTACTTGTAATGTTAGACTTTGTAAAGTATTCTCGAGAGTCAGCTCTTAAGTTCTCCCATGTCCGAGTCCTGTGGATCCTATCTGTACAGTGCCATTTGTTTCCAATAATTCTAGCTCAGAAACTAGCTATTCTGAGAATCAGAAATCATGAATGAGAACAAGAGGTGGGGTCAAGGTACTACAACCTCAGTATCCCTGAGTCCCTAGAAACTGTTTTAAAAAGAAAGCAATATAGGGGGCAGCTAGGTGGTGCAGTGGATAGAGCACCGGCCCCGGAGTCAGGAGAACCTGAGTTCAAATCCAGCCTCAGACATATAACACTTACTAGCTGTGTGACCCTGGGCAAGTCACTTAACCCCCTTGCCTAGCCAAAAACAAACAGACAAAAAGGAATATAAAAAAATACATAAATAAAAATATAAAACTATTAAAAAATCTATAATGAAAGTGAAAAAATGTAACTACCAGAAGCAACAGATAAGAAAAACTATAAAATATTCTGAGACATCCTCAAATTGATAAATAACACATTTAAAGCAATTAAGCAAGAATTAATATGACGAGAGAATCATAACAGCAAACAGAAGAGAGCAGAAATTTTAAAATGACAGGAACAGAAATCGCTAGACAGCACACAAAGAAGAGTGATATGAATAAGACCAGAAAGGCTGGCAGGAGCTAGACTGTGAAGGGCATCTTTCCAGGGACAGACCAATGCAGCACTCTGAAAACAACAAGCCCAGAACAGCTCTATTCTTCCTTCTTTCACAGAACAATTTCCAACAAGTTGGCTCTTTCTCAGAATAACCTCACCAGCTCCTCAGGAGGCACACAGCTCAGGGGCTTCCCTACCGTGCGCAGCCAGACATCCCAGCACAATGAGGGGGACGGTGCTCTGGAAGCCAGGGCAGAGTGCGCCGATTCACTGTCCCTAGCCGAGACGGACAGCACTTCTGCTCCTCCCCTCCGCTGCTCTGGGACACTCTGGATGATAGAGTTCTCAAGTACAACCATAAGGGATGTGATGCCTCCCCATGCCCCAGAAGACCTGGGTATTGATTTGGTATTGATTCTAACCCTCCCAGCTAACCTGGGTAGGTTCATTCACTGCCCTTATTCTCTCAGTGGGAAGTATGAAATGCTTACACTTACATTCAAGACCTCCTGCCGAAGAGTTGCAGGCTCCACGCAGCTTATCAAGCGAAGTAGCAGGTCCATCATGGCAGAGGTGTCAATGTGCTTGAGTACCAGGCTAATGAACTGGTCTTTCTTTTTCAGAAATGTGATCACCTAAAACACAAATTAATCTCTTATGAAAAACAAGAGCAGAGTATGCCACAGAAAATTTCCCTAAGATCTTAGGCAAAACCCCTCCAAAAAGCCTGGGCCACACAAGGGAGGTAGGACTGAGAATATCTGTGCAAATGAGTTGATGTTAGCTGGAGCTGTTACAAAGGGACAGAAGAGAGCAAGCAGAATGACTTCTTCATCCCCATATATCTGAGGAAAGAAAACAACCTCCAGCAGCAGACAGGAGCTGCCTGGAGTCCAGAAACCATCCTGGCATCTTAAAAACTTGGGACGTCAGCACTGCCCCTCAGTGTCTCATTCCAATACGTTGGCCACTGTGGCATTCTGAAAGCGTAGGCCAGTCTGGAGCTAGCTATGCCTGGATGGAAGTTCAAGCCAACTCAAAGCTAACCTGGACCAGTCCAAAAGCTTGGGCTGGACTGGGTCTGTGGCCCAATGAGGACTGACCCCTACAGAGAAGGTTGGCACAAGGAGGGCAGTTACCTAGGGAGGGCTTTGTTTGACCAAAGGAATGATAAAGGCAAGGAGGGGCTAAATCTATGTTGGGAATAGAACATTCTCACTAAGAAAACCACAGCTCTTCTGAAGGAATGAAGTATTTCAGAAGAGCTTTTAAGCATGTGGCAAGAACCACAGGAAAAAAACAAACGAATAAATGAAAGAATGAATGGACATATGTATGCACGCATGCATGTATGATGTGTACATACATATACGTTTTTAAAGTGCAACAGCCAGGGGCAGCTAGGTGGCACAGTGGAGAGAGCACCAGCCCTGGAGTCAGGAAGACCCGAGTTCAGATCTGACCTCACATACTTGACACTAGCTGTGTGACCCTGGGCAAGTCACTTAACCCCATTGCCTATCTCCCCCTCCCCCAAAAAAAGATAATAAAAATAAAGTACAACAGCCCTGGGCAGGGACTGAAGGCCCTCCTGGGAAGGTGCCTCATGGGATAAGAAAAAAGAGTCAACAGGGATTAAGTTGGAGAAGTAGTCTGTCAACAAAGGAAAGGCAGAGGAACTACAAAAAGCAGAACAGAGACTCAGAATTAGGGCTGACATCTTGGAAAAGAAAAATCCTGACAGTGGAAACATCAAGTCTTATAAAACAGTGGAGTCCAACATGTGCCCACCGACACTGCTGAAGACAGCTGGAGCCCGTCCCATTTTGACGTGTTGGTGTATTAATTAAAAAAGAGAAATACATAAACACATGTGGTTTCTGAGTCAGCACAATGCCTGAAGAGATGCTTATGCATGGCTTAGCAGCCCCATTCTGAAAGAGTGGCCTTTCCTGAGGCCAAGACAGTACAACTTCCCAACAGAGAAAGAAGCAATCAACTACAAAAGTAGTATGGGATGGTCCAAATCTGATGAAAAGCTCCTCTCTCCTCCAAGAACTGGCTACTACTCACAGCTAAGCATTCCTAGAGTAGTTTAAGGTTCTCCAAACACTTTACAATATGATCGCATTTTACCCTCATAACAAACCTGGAAGGGTGTCCCCCACTGAAGGGTGACATGAACTGCCCTAGCTAGTCAGTGTCCAAGACAGGATTTGACCCCAGGTCTTCCTGACTCCAGGACGACAGAGGGCTAGTTGTAAAGCAACGTGCATCATGACAACATGGAACCCACACAGGTAAGACTGTGGCTTGAGTCAACGAAGCAGGGCTGAGCTAGTCTGCCCAGAGCTACGAACGCTGAAAAAATCTAGAATTATCTGAGGCATCTCCACAAGCCTGAGTTAGACATTTAAGTGCTAACGTCAAAAACAAAGGAGGTCTATGTAATGTGAGGACCTAGATGGTCCAAAGAGGAACTTAAAGAATTAAGTCCGTGTATGGACTGATGCTGAGTGAAGTGAGCAGAACCAGGAGAACACTGTACACAGTAATAGCCACACTGTGTGATGACTAATATTGATAGACTTAACCCTTCCCAGCAATGCAAGGATCTAAGACATCTCTAAAAGACTCATGATGGAAAATGCTATCCACATCCAGAGAAAGAACTATGGTGTCTGAATGCAGATCGAAGCATGCTATTTGCTCTTTTTTTTTCTTCTGCTTTGATTCCTCTTTCTGGTGGTACCTCCCATTGGTTCTAATTCTTCTGTACAACATGACTAATGCAAAAATGTGTTTAATAGGAATGTACATGTAGAGCTTATATCAGATTTCATGCCATCATGAGGAGGGAGGTGGGGAGGAAGGGGGAGAAAATTTAAAACTCAAAAGCTTTTGGAAGGGATTGTTGAAAACTAAAAATAAATAAATTAATTTTTTTAAAAAAAGAATTAAGTCTAAGAGCCATTGGTAAAGCTTTAAACATTTTTATTTTATATGTTTTGGAAAACTGGTTATTTCTTCATTTTTCCCCACTGGTTTTAGCCAATCGCCCAAGACTAACAGTAAATATTTTGGAAAATTAAAGTAACTGTGTGATGGTTTGTAGAACACCCTAAGCTGGGTGTTTCATTGACTCTGATGTAGACTGGAAGCTGGAGGAATCTGATCACATCAATGTCCAAAACACCTACCATACCTTCATATGACAAATCAGTGAGCAAAGGATGGTCATGAGAGGCCTCGGGACCCCAATGAGCTGTGAGCCACTGCAACGTTCCAAAGAAGGCCCTTTCTTTGCTGGTTCCCCAGGGCCTTCCCTTCTGCTGGTCAGAGTGCTCACTGAAGGGCCTTCCTAAACATTCAGGCCTGGTGTACTTGGCCAGAGAGCGCTGCCCATCCCAGGGCTCACAAGAGCGTAAAGCACTGTGGACAGGACTGCAGCGCCTCAGGGAGGGGGAAGACAACTGCTCAGTGTACAGCGAGCCCCACACTCAGGCTGGCTCTGTTCGATTTCTAGGCAATCGCCAGTACCTTACTAATGAATAATACACATTCGCATCGGCCAGAAGCAGGCAGCTGGACCGCCAATGTACCTGTTCGGTTTTCCTTGCAATAAGATTGCCAATGGTCTTGCTGAAGAAGCTGGCCAGTAGAGGGTTGAGAGGCGGCTCATGGTCCAAGAAGTCATAAAGGATGTTCAGGAGATTTTCGTCTCCTCCCAGTTTATCATTGATCTGCGGCACATCAGAGGTCAGGAGTTCACAGGCTGTGTTGGGGTATCTGAAAGGGCATAGCAACCGAAGGTGAGATTACATTTTTTTTTTAAATGTAGAAAGCTGTTTAAAATACGCTGATCCTTAGGAAGCCAATCCAAGGTAGAAAAACAATATAGTAAGGAAACTCAGACGCTCTTCTTCTCAGGATGGTGCAGTCTTCCTTCCTGGAGGCAGTTGTGGTCTTCCTCTTCAAGCACCCCTCCCTGCCCCCTGGGAGCCTCCTTGAGCATTCCCTATCGTCCTCTCCTCTTTTCTCTCCCTGTGCTTCCAGTCTCACCTCACTGATCGCCTCCCCAGCCTCCCATCAGCTTTCCCTCTCTCTCTCTCTCTCTCTCTCTCTCTCTCTCTCTCTCTCTCTCTCTCTCTCTCCTCTCTACCCACTGACTGTCTTCCAAGATGGCTTCGTTGGTGCCACCCACTCACTGTTCCATGCATTTCAGTTATTTACCCATTTCTTTATTTCCTATCTCAGAAGTCATCTGTCTTCTCCTTTCCTCTGACTCCATGTTTCCCAATCTTGTCCCTTCAGCCTCTGCAGCATCTCTTGTGCCTGTTGCTTTCTCTCTACCCACACAGCCCCTGGGCTGGTCCAGCCTGCGCCCCTCACCTGGCCTACTGCAACAGCCTCCCCATCAGGCTCTCCAGTTCTACGTCCTTCCCTCGCCAACCCACCTTCCATACAGTTCCCAACAGACATTACTAAAATACAGATTTGGGGCAGCTAGGTGGCACAGTGGATAGAGCACGAGCCCTGAGGTCAGGAGGACCTGAGTCCAAATTTGGCCTCAGAGCAAACACTCGACACTTACTAGCTGTGTGACTCCAGGCAAGTCACTTAATCCCAACTGCCTAAAAATAAAATAAAATAAAATACAGATCTGACCACATCACCCTCCCCACCACAAAAATCAGTCACTGGCTGCCTATTACGACTCTTCAGCTGGGCATTTGCAGCCCTTCACAGCATGCCTCCCAGCTACCTCTGTGAGCTCCTCTGTCACTCCCTTTACATGGAGCCTCGCCTGAGAGCTTCCCATGCACAAACATTCAATCTCTCCCATTTCCCCTTCTTTCCCCAAGGGATCCCCAATGCCTGGAATGTTCTCCCCCTTCACCTTTGCCCTCACCAAAGCACAGTTCAGGCCCCCATCTACACAAGGTCGCTCTAATCTCACCCCCCTCCCAAGCCTCCATTTTAGAGCTTGCTCTTTAGCTCTTCAAATTACTTTGTATATACTTATCTGGGTGCTCACCCTACCCCCCCAGTAGAATGTAAGCTCCCTGACGGCAGGACCTATTTCTTTCTTTCTTTTTTTTTGGGGGGGGGAATTCCCCAGCATCGGTCTAACACCTTCTTCACACACAGCAGGTACTTCATGTGTTTTTAAAACAGAATTACTTTTATTTTAATTAATTTATTAGTATTACTTATTATTTAAGAAAATACTATCACAGAGCTCCTTAGGAACCCTTAGGCTGGGTTGGGGCTGCTGTCTCAGAAGAAGGAGATTTCCACAATCTCCTTAAAGCGCCGTTCCAGGGTTCTAGCCCACTAGCCTCCCAACAGTAACAGCCCAAACCCCCCAGGTTGGTGGCTTGGTACACCTTTCTGTGCACATCCCCTCCCACCAAGTATACTGTGAGCTCCCAAGGAAGACAGGGCACAAAGAACTCAAAAAGTCTGGGGAGAGTTAGCATTCAAGGACACAGACACGCAAGACCATTGGACACACAGGTCTCCCACCCCACCCTAGAACAAAGTGGGCATTCAGTGTGAGCTGCGGCTGCTGTGGCTGCTGCAGGAGGCTGGATTTCTTACACATTGCTTGTTGGACTTTTCTGGGGTTGCTTTGTTTGTTTTTAAAGCTCGGACTAGACCAAAGAAAGTCAGAGCTGCAAAGGCCCTTAGGGAGAGGACTGAACCACACTGCCATCTACAGTGGCGCAGCCCTGGCCCAAGAAGTCGAGGCCCACTCAGGAAGAGAAGCCTGCCAGCTTCCAAGGCAGCTCATGCTGCTCAGATTAGGCTTAAATCCTCCCCTGGGCAACTTCACCCATTTGTCCTCGATCCGCCTTGTGAGGCCTCCCTCTTCCACATGACTGCCCTCTGGAGGCATGAAAAGATGGCGGCTGCCTCCCTTACCAAACTCTGCATCCTCACTTCTCTCAACAGCCTGCATAAGGAATGCTTCTGAGTCTCCTCACAGGACTGGTCGCCCTCCTCTGGCCAGACTCCAGCTTCTCAGGATCATTATTAAAATAGGCCATCCGGAAGTGAACACGGAGCTCAGCCAGAGCACAGCAGAGAAGGACCACCCCAGGCCTCACTGTGAATGCTGGGCTCCGGGCCATGGCGCTGACTCACCTAATGTCTGTGGGCCAGAAGCTGGGCCTCTCTCATGGGACGTACTGAGCTAAGCCTCCTTCATCCTACATTTACTGGCCTTTGTTCCTGTTCTTCCCTGCTTTTGATTTGCTTGAGCACCATTCTGCTAGGATGTTAGTGGATGACAAAATCAGGATGAAAATGATTAGCTAGCCCTCCCAGCCATCTGTCATTCAGGAATTTGCTAATAAGCACGTCATCTCAAACCACAGGCCCAAGTCCCAAGATGCTGGGGTAATGAAGTCTGCTTGTGACCTTCCTCCAGACATCTATCCTATTTAATTATCACCCTTTCAGTCAGATCTTCAACTAGCTCTGAATTCACTTAACTCAAGGGTCCTTAACCTGGGGTTCACAAATCTCCTCTCCCCAGGGGTTCTGTGGACAGATTGCAGGGAGTCCATGAATTTGGCTGGGAAAAATCATATCTTTATTTCAATATAACTAACTTCCTTAGTGATCCAACATATTTTATGTTTTTAAAAATATTTTGCTGAGAAGAGGTCCATAGGCCTTACCTGAACGCCAAAGGAGTACATGACATAAAAAAGTGAAGAATCCCCTAAAGTGCCCACAAGTGGCCACGAGAACACCACAAGACACTAAAAAGGCCTTGCTCAAATCCACAGAGGCCGGATCAGAACCATTTGCCTGATCCACTATCAAACAAGCAACGTGGATTTGTTTGACTTTGTTCTCGATTAATTCAAGCTGACTCTTCACAATCACTGCTTTCCTTTCTAAGTGCTCACCCTTTTAACAATGTGTTCTAGAAAACTGACAGAAAGACAAACCAAGTGCCCTGGCCTCTTGCTTCCAGACTCTGCACCTCACCAGCCTTTCAGATCAGCATGATCTTCACCTACCCCACCCTGCAGCCTTCTCCCATTCACCACTACTTTTCAGGGACCATTGACAGCGGTCCAGCACTGACTTCCATGCCCACACCTCCTCTCAGTCCCCCATGACACACGGGCCCATGGACAGAACAACCAGAAGCCCACCACACACTTTCTGAGAGAGAGGCAAAGACTGGAAGATGAGAAAGCAGCAAGCTCAATCTGGCATGCCTAGGCAGGCAAATCCCCAAATTGGCCTGAGAGTATTCTGGGCCCACGAGGGCTAAGCTTGGCCTAGAAAGCTGTGGATGGCTAGACAGCTTAGGTAAGGCTACCCAGACTGGAACAGCTACTTCTAATTATACTGCGGTATTATTTCTGCTTTGTAAACCTGAATATACTATGTAAATGTTAAAAAAATGAAAAATCCAGGACAATGGACCCTTGCAGTCTGTAATGCACAGAAATGGGGTAGAAGGAAGAGAAGGAAGTGAACGCAAGGCCTGTGGCAGAGGAAAAGGGACTTGAACACAAGGCGCAAATCAGGCTCCTAGATGATGAAGGTCAGGAGGAAGCAGAGCACAGAGAGCCTCGAACCTCATGCCAAAAACCCCTGGCTTCACGCCCAAACTCTTCCACTGTGAGTTCTATGCCCATGGGCACACCTCTGGTCTCTGGGACTGACTCCTTATCTGTAAAATGAGGATAAAGCGATGATGTCAACTGGCTGGCTTGTGAGGCTGCCGTGAGGCCCAGACGAGATGATGGAGCCGAGAGCATGTGGCAAATGACCGGGCTTCAGATCCAGCTGCAGGCCACCTCTAGGCCATGTGTCACTTAGGACTGTCACCTATTCCCATGCACAGCAGCCAACCCAACGCTACAAGGCTTCTCCCTCTCTGTAGGTGCTACTCTTCCTGCCCTGGCCCACACTCCTGACGACTTATGATGGTGCCCCAACACGCATCACTGCGTGGCCGATCTGGCAGCAGCCCTCTGCAGACTTAGCTCAGCTGGTCCTCAGACCCCACAAAGACTCTCTCATCGGGCTCCTGGCAAAGCCCTGCCCACTTACCATGCAGCCTCAGAGCTAACAGGACCATGTTTTCTAGGTTTTAAAACATAAAGCCATCTCTTAGTTAATAGCTGTCTGTGAAGGCACTGCCCCTCCCCCTTGCCGTGTGCAGCATGTTACTGAAGGCCCAACCTTCTTTTCCCGGTCTCCCATCTGATGGTGCCTTCCCCGCCCTCCTTCATCTTCTTTGGATTTTTTTGTCTCCTCTCATAGAGCATAAGCTTCTTGAGGGCAGAAGCTGTCTTACTTCCAGCACCTAGCACAGCGCCTGGGACACAGCAGGTCCTCAGCGCCTGCTGTCTGATTGGCTGGCTGTTCCAGGTAGTGGGAGAAGAGGCACGAACAGACTGTATCTGCTCTGGAGGAGCTCCCAATCTCCTGGGGAAGACCACACATACAAGGACACACATGATGGCTTTCCAAAGGCCTTCAAGATCTATTTGTTCATGTCCCCCACACCCCACCACTAATTCCCTCCACCTCTCTCTCCACATTGTTTCCTGCAGATTGATTTCCATATGCCTGCGGCTGGCCCTGGTGAGGGCTCCAGGCAGCAGGTTGTGCTGCCCAGGCTGGCTTCTTCTTCCGCTCCTGGCACACACTCCTGGGCATACTGAGGCGCCAGTTGAAGCAGACAGCGCTAAGTGAAAGCTTTATCAAATGAGAATGGCTAGTTTCTAAAACACTGTTCAATCTGAGAAAATCTTTTCTGGATTCTTCCTCCCTGAGAGCAGCAATTCAAAACTAATCTCTCTTCTGATCCTACAAGTATGCACAAAGGAGGAATTATCAAAATAAATGCCATGCTTAGTAAAGGCTTACCCTGAATATAAGCAAACAGCATCGTTTCACCAATGAGTTGAAATTTTACAACCAACGAAGAAGGTTTAGCAAACACATTCTCATTAGCAAACATCTGGAAGCCTTTAAATGATGTCTTGGCAATTCTGGGTAAAGCAAATAAAAATTCACTCATTTTCTACTTCTTCCTCCGTCTCTACTGTTAGCTAAAGAAAAGACTCTGCATGTGTGTGCGCGCGTGCACACGTGTGTATGTGCATGTGTGAGTGTGCGTGCGTGTGTGTGTACATGCTTCCACTGATCACTGCTCCCATTACTAATACAGAGAGTAATGTCTCTGTGACATCTTATCACCTAGGATTCTTATCTATTGTTTTCCCATAAGCCCTTCAGAGAGGACATATAGTATTTTTTTTTCTGTATATACTAGGGTATCAATCAACCTTAACAGAAGCTTCCTCTGTGTGTGAATTTTCATGATGGAGATTTGATAACTTGTTTCTGCAAAACCTGACCCAAACCAAGGGGCAGTATTCCTGGGAGCCCAGAAAAATACTGAAAAGTAATTTTCTCCTTTCTATAGAAATAAAAATGATCTTTAAAAATCACACAAAAGGTTCTACTAAATTACATCTTGATCATATTGCCTCAAACTCTGTCCCATATTTTGGACCCTGGGCAGAAGAAAATTGTTTCTATTGTCCTTTCGATATTGTCGTTTCTGATAATTTTTTTTTGGGGGGGGATGTGTTTCGAAATATCTCTTGACATCCCTATTGTTTCTTTCAACTTCAAAATCATTTTTGAGCTTAACTTTTGATAGAAAGATCTCTTTTCCCATGGAGTTCTCCCAGTTTTACACCGTGAACTCTTACTGACTGTCATTGGTGCCCCTGATATTCCCAAGCTGTCAATTTATCCTACATCTGCTCAGACGTGGAGGTGCTCATCTGCTCTGGCTCTAGTAGCACACTGGCGACGGTGACCCTAAGGAGTGTCCTCCCCCACTCCCACGGATTCAGCAAATGGCTCCAGCCCTGCACCAGCAACTGCTCACTGAGCACTTCCACCTCGTTGTCCCATTGGCATTTCCAACTCAGTAAGTCCAAACCCGAAGTCATTCTCTTTTCCTGCTGGCCCCCAGTCTCTGGGATGCATTCCCACCCAACATCTGCCTTGGCCAAATCCCTAGTGTCTTTGAGAGCTCAGCTTGGGCGCCACCTGCTGGAGAAAGGCAATCCTGATCCACCCATTTGCCCTGCTGGAAATTATTCTGAATGGATTTTGTAACTGGGTAGTGGTTAATTGTCTACACACTGTTTGTCTCAAATAGAATGTAAACTCCTTAAGAGCAGAGATCGCTTTGTTTTTATCTGTCTCTCTTCAGCCTCTAGCACAGTTCTTGACAAAAGGGGGAAAAAATCCCTGCTCTCATGGAGCCAATGGTCCACTCAGGGGAATATGAGACCTAAACAGAGCACTGCACGCATGATCAACAGGAGGAGGTAGCAGCACTAACCACTGAGAGAATCGGGGAAAGTTTCACACAGGATGCGGCCTGTTGGCTGAGCCTCGAATGAAATGCAGTGGGGAGGAGGAAGGCATTCCAGGCATGGGGCCAGCTGGGGCTAAAGGCCTGTGGTGGAAGGGGGAAGCCTGTGGCCATGTCTTATGTGGGGATCAGCACGGATGCAGACAGAGGAAGGGGGAACAAAGAACAGAAGTGCAGCAGGAAGAGGGGGCCTGAGTGTGAAAAATCACACCTACCATCGGGGCACTCCCTTCTGACTACGATGGCCGCTGCTTCGCCCTCAGTCTCTTCTTCAAATACCTAAACGCACCTACGTCCCAAGGCTTGGCCCTTGACCACTGCTCATCTCTCCACCTTTTCTCCCTTGAAGATGGCGCCCAGTCCTACAACTGTAGCAAGTATCCCTCGTCTGTAATCTCAAACTGTATGCCAAACACATGGGGTCATCCATCACTTCAAATCCAACCTGCTAAAAGCTGATTAGCTTTACCCTACTTTCCCCGAATTATATCTTCCTCCCTTCAAGCCTCCTCTCCTGGGGCTTTTCTTCAGTGCTCCAAAGACTTCCAGGAAGGCAGTTCACATGCATTTGGATCATTTTCCATGAAAACCACCATTCTAAAATTCCTCCATCTCCCCAATGACCAGGAAATGTCATTATTGGGTCATCTACAATGGAAGCATGACCACACATGAGGTCACACATGTATGCAAAAAGCTTTCAAGACAAGCATTAATGCTGACTGCAAACTTTCCAGTTTTCTTCAACTATCATGTTTCTAAATGAAGCTATTTGCACTCACCAGGGCCCTAGCTACTCTGTGACTCCTTTATCTTCTAGAGAGCTCCAAGTCTAATTCCTAACTCCTAATTCCCATGGCTTAGAACCTGGGTCTCAGCATTTCTAGCTCTGGGGAAACTGAATGTTAATGCGGCCACACGTATTTTTGCTTTGGCAAAAGATGTTCATTCATAAAGAAAACATGAACTCTCAGATAACACCAACTATAAACTTCCTAGAAATATGAGCCAAAAAGCACACACGTGGGATTCGAAGATTTTTTTTTTTAGCATTATAAGAAGGAAACTCTACGAAACAGTTCTATTCACTCGGTCTGAGGCTGTAGGAAAATAGACAAGGTCATCAGTGAAATGAGAGCTCTCAAGGTTCCAGCTGCCCTCGGCTACAGATAGATCACCTTCCTGAGACACTGCCCAGTGAACGTGACCCCAGGGCCGCAGCAGGGGTACATACTTGAAGCGGACCTTCTCTTCCATGTCCAGGGGTGGGTCATGAGTGATGAGGCTCACCAGCTCCTCCATACACTGCTGTTTGCAGAGGAAGTCCAGAAGCTTGCGGTTCTGTGCTTTACATTCCTGTAGGATGTCATCTTCATCCATCAACTCATGCAGAGTTACATCCTCTCTGTCCAGCAGTTTATCAACATGGGATGTTGTGTTCAAATCAAACTTCCAGAACATGGTGATAGGACTCACCAAGCTGCAAGGCAAGAGAAGAGGCGTCACTCCTCATCACCTCCAAAACCAGTCCAGCCCTCACCTACTCCGTCCTTCTGGAGCCCAAGGAGAGCTGCTACCATTTCCTTCCTCTAATGGGACACGCTTCCATCAACGTGGGGAGGACCATCCACAAGAACTGTCCTCGTCATCCTAAGCGGAGGTGCTGACTTGAGCAAAAACCCTACTCTGCACTGAGCCCTACAGCTGACCCCTCGCATGCCCCTACGAGAGACACCACACTCTCTGGAGAATCGCACAATTTTGCCCCCAAAGCTTGTTAAGGGAATTGTGCCCCCAACTCCCCTTGGCCCATTTGCAAAAGGGTTACAAATAGGGTTGGTATATTTCTTTGTCCTTCACAATTCCACAATTCCATGAATAATTAGCAAAAAGCTAATAGGAGTAAGAATAATTGCTCATAATTCTTAAGTCCTCTGAGGTTTACAAATTAGTTTCCTCACAACAGCCCTGTGAGGCAGGTAGTCTACATATTGTTAGCCCATTTTACAGAGGAGGACACTAAGGCGTAGGCAAGTGAAGTAAGTCATTTGCTCAAAGTCCCACAGCTAGTGAGTCAGGACTCAAAACTCCAAATCTAGTACTCCTTCCACCACACCTACATAAACTATATATAGGTGGCAACTGTGGTTTACATGTACATCACTTCAAGGTTTACAATGTACGTGAGATCTACATCTTATTTCAGACTTACAAAAATGCTGTGACAGGCCAACCAAGTACGATTATCTCTTTTTTACAGATGAGGAAACTGAGGTTCACAGAAGTGACATGATTTTTCCAAGATCATATAATTAGTTAGTAAGTGGAAAAGCAGGGACTCCTATCCACGTATTCTGACTCAAGTTCATGGTCTTTCATCTTCAGAGTTCAGAATTTGTTGTACTTCAGAGGGAGTCACCCTAGGGGAGGTAAGGTCCATTCCTTTTCACTACATGAGAAAGTGTCAGCAGGTATAAGCAGTTGGGGCGATGGCTCTGGACCAGGCAACTAGAACTTCCCAGGGAAGGACTGAGAGGAGAAGAACTGGAAAAGAAGAGAAAGAAGCACCAGCCTGGCTGGCTCTAAGAAAAAAGCCCTGACATGCCTACACACAATTAGTACACGGATCAATTCCAGCCTTTCCGATCCCCAAGGCAATAAGGCTGGATGCCAGCCAGGCCCTCTGTACCCTTTGGGCACAGATCCTAGGCACCCAGAAGCCTTTGAGAACATTTCTTCCCCTCTGCCTACTCCTTTTCCCCTGCTAATCTTCTGTCAACTGACTGTTGCTCCTAATAATTCAATTAAACGCCCCTGCACTGCCTGCTACATGTGAGGCACTTTACTGAGACAAGCTGTCCTTTCTGCACCTTTCCACATACAGACAAGTCGAGGGGGGGAAAGGAAAGACCCGGACAGGGTGATCTCCAGTAAAGAAGGCCCTCGGGGTTGGTGTTGAGAGCTAGTTAAGGAAAATGGGAAGAGAAAAGAATAAGGGTATCAGGGTGATGGAGACAACCAGCGGTCACTCACTTCACATAAGGTCAGCACTTTTGTCATTATCAAAGTATCTTCAAATACATCATCTCATTTGATCTGAGCTTTAGAAACAACCTAATCAAACATTTCCATTTCCCAAAGTATAAACAAAGTTAACTCAATGGGAAGACAAGACCCAGACTTCCCCAGAAAACTATACTACATCACGCTACACAAGTTAAATGTATTCAAGAGGCACAAACGAGTGCCACATGAGGTCTGTGGGGAAAAGCTTTTCATTGGGAAAGGCCTTGTGGAGAAGGAGGCACATGAACAAAAAGGAAAGAGAGGTCATTCCAGGCCCATGAACGGTGTGGGTAAAAGTACAGAGGTGGGAAAATACCAGGCATGTTTCAGGGACACAATCTTCTAGTTTAGAGGGAGTAAAGGGTAAAGTACAGAGATGAGATAAGTCTGGGGAGCAGAAAGCCAGATTATGCCAGAAGGAGGACCTACAGTGGATGGGCAGTAGGGGCTACCAGAGATGTTGTCAGCAGGAAAACACCCCAGCCAATTTGGGGGATAAGGAAGACTCCTCTGGCAGCAGTTTGAAGAATGGATCGAAAGGGGGCCAGACCAGTTAGGAAGTTCCTGAAGGAGTCAAGTCAGGGGTAATGAGGCCTTGCAGTAGGAGAGGGGCCTAGACTAGAGAAGAGGTTATAGAGAGGAAAGGCAATGCTAAGGACAATCTGCCTGCAAATTAGTGGTGAGAGAAAAGAATCACAGAGAACCTCAAGGTTTCCAAACTGGAGAACATACTCAGGTTAGGATCACATACAGAAAGGGGAGACTTAGGAGGAGGAACAGGTTTTGCACAAACATAATGCACTAACCCCCATTTTTGAACATACTGAATTTGAGATGCTGGTGAGATGCTGGGTCTAGAATTCAGAAGAGAGGTCAGGCTGAATATAGAGATGGATGCAGAATGCAAGGGATGGTTAAACCTTTAAGAGCTACTATACAGCAGCCCTTGTTAAGAGAGCAAAGAGCTGGAGACAAAGGTGATGACCACTGACCGGAGGACGGCCAAACAAACGGTGGCACATGAAAGTCATGACAGATTACAGCCCAGGACCCATCAGAACACCGTGCAAGCTCCACACCCATCACCAATGGGAGAAATCAGGCAGGACCTTCCTTCCTTATCGCCGCCGCCACCAGGCAACAGAAGCCCTGAGAGTGACAGCACCCCCAGACCACCTGCCCTGCCTAACCTTCACAGTTATCATCCAGGGAAGTAACTCCTGCAGAGAAAGGACAAGCCATCATCACCAACCGCCAACCACCATACGAAGGGCCGACAAGTCAGCCTCGCTGAAGCAGCAAGGCACCCCAGAGGAGGCAGCGTGAATCAGGCAAGTCAAATCACCACCTCCACCAACCTGACCACCATCTGTCTCCCCTCAGACCCTGATGGAGCCAGCCCAGGACTCCAAACCCAAGAGCCTTGGGAACAGCCACGTTGCCAGCCCCTTGCCCTCCACTCCCATCCTGGGGAGATGGAGCCTGGGGCCTCCTCCTGCAGGGGCTGCAGCCACAGGGAGCGAGGACCCAGACAGCCACGTGCTGCCACCACAGTCCTCCGCTCCATCCGGAGGCAGATGGGACTTCATCAGTGGAAATGGCAGGGAAGACAAGGCCAGACCATCTACTTTGCTGCTGCCCCTCCATCTTCCTTGCAGCTAACCCTTCCTTACGTTTCAACTTCCCACCAGAACAGGAGCTCCTGGAGAGCAGGGACCGTTTGACTTTCCTCTGGCACACTCCAGCACTTAGCATAGGTTTCCTTTTGCACATACTAAGTGCTTAATGAATGCTTCATTCATTCTTTCTTTCTTTCACTTACTCTGTGCCAGGCAGTATACTAAGTGCTGAGGATGCAAACAAAGGGAAAAGCCTGGGATCTGCCCTCATCGTACTTATGTTGTGATGGGGAGAAAACATGCAAACAACTACATGCACACATGCACACATACATGCTTATATACTTACATACTTGCATGCATGTATACATGCACTCATACATACTTATATGCATACATGCATGGTTACATACATATACACATACACACACACAACATAAGTATAAGTCATCTCAGAGGGCTGACGCTAACAGTGGGAGTTTGGGGGAAACTGGGAAAGACGTCTTGAAGAAGGAAGGATTTCAGCTCTTAAAGAATGCCAGAGGAAGTAGGACGTGAAGGTGAGGGAGGAAGGGGGATCGAGCCAGTGAAAAGGCATGGGGTGTTACGTGGGAGGAACAGCAGGGTGGCCAGTGTCACTGCATCTTCAAGGTTTGTGGGGGAGAGGCGTAAGGAGACTGAAAATGGAGGGAAGTTCCCGGTGAAGAGTGGCTTTGAACGCTAAAGAGAGGATTTTCCATTTGATCCTGGAGGCAATAGTGAGCTGCCGGAGTTGACTGAATAAGAGGGGTGACAGAGTAAAACTATGCTTTAGGAAGATTCCCTCTGACAGCTGGGCAGACTTGAGACAGGGAGGCCTGTTAGAAGGCCATAAGATAATCCAGATGTGAGGACATGAGAGTCTGGTCCAAGGCAGAAGCTATGTGAGTGAAGAGAAGGGGACATTTGGGAGAAATGCTGTGAAGGCAGAAAAGGACACTGTGTTACCTAGGTGTGAGCCTGGATGACCAGGAGGACGGTAGAACCCTCAACAGTAATATGTGAGTTAGAAAGGGGCTGCAGGTTGGGAGGGAAAAATAACGACTTCCATTCTGGTGCTGAGTTCAAGATGACTGTGCGACATCCAGTTGAAGATGTCCAGAAGGGGGTTGGCTGGGGATGAGACAGCAGAATGCACAAGAGACACTAAAGCTGGATTAACAGACTCAGAATCATCTGCAGAGAAATGATGACTGAACCATGGAAGCTAAGGAGATCACATGAGAAAGCGGAGAGGGCAACGAGGAGGCACAGGACGAGCGCAGAAGAAGCCTCCACCTCCTTAGGCAAGGGATTCCTTATCCAAACTCTCTCATCAGTTTTTAACTCCCTGAGATACAAGCAAGTTCCACGTGTGTCTCATGAGTCATGAAAGCCCACACCTCCTGAAGGAGCCTCAGAATCCCCCAAACCCACTCTTTCTGTCAAGCGTAAGCCTGTAGGAAGCGCCAGCGAGCAACCCTGACTGCCCTGCGTTCTTAATCACTGAACCACAACCTAATTCTCAAGTACAAGGTGACCTGCCTTTTGATCTTTCTGTAAACAAACCTACTTGTTCTCCCCCAAGCAGGGGCTGCTGGTCCCTGCTGTCTCTTCAGAGCTGGCCCAAGAATTTCACAAGCCCCAGATCTTCTTACCCGATAGAATTACTGAATCTAGTCTAATCTAGTTCCTTTGACCCACCAGCACCAAAAGTTCAGTTCCATCTAGATCACCAGAGACTGAGCAATTCAACTCTTGTGAGTCGAGGGTCGGC